TTCGTATTCATCATGCCTGATTCACTTTGCTGAATATCCAACTTATCAGTTGATCACTTTACATGTTCAAAATAATAGTAAAGAAAGCAATAGCATGTGTCTAAGAGCTATGAATCATTACCATCCTGTCATTTCGGGTAGGTGAAAGTACATGACCTTCAATTTTTGGATTTGGTGTTTGTGAAAGTTGTGGAGAACCATCTCGTTGTGAAGCCTCTGTTAAAACTAAAGCTATCTCATGAGCAACATCATCATCATTTGGATCATCAACCCTTGTCTTGCTATTGTGCCTTGAGGGTGAAAGAAACCTCTCTCTACTATCTTTGTCATAAGAATATGATACAGGAACGCGTGGAGTTCGTTTCCCAACAGCATGTGGTTTAATACCTAACACCATCCACATTAACATCACTAACTCAAATCCGATAACATGACAGAAATTTCCCATAAATGATTTTAAAAGTTAAATAACAGACAGTGTAATGACTGCAATTTCCCGTAAATGATTTTTGAAGTTAAATACTCCAGAAATTACCATCCAAGTGCCCAAAAATAAAACAACATACAATAATTGCACCTCCACAGATTAAGATATAGAATGAAGGACAAGTAAGAAAACCTAAATCACCTAAGAGAGAAATTGGGACATTTCCTACCAGAACGCCTCTTCTTCAACAATGACAGGCAGCCATAATTTGTTGGAAATGACTGTGATTGTGAAGCATCTCCAAAATGTGGATCCAATCCTTTAGAGTTGTTATTTTGTGACTTTCCACGCAGTCGCTTTTGAGGTTTTCTTCTTGCTCCAGAATTCTCATTGCTTTCTTGTTCACTTTCACTGTCTCTCTGGCAATTTATCTATCAATTTTAGACCTCAGAAGAGCCATAAAGACAGCCCTATGACCTCAACAATAGCCTTACAATACTAAGTAGCTTCCATGTAAATTCAATATGCTGATACAGAAACAAAATACAATGAACCGAATATTGCAGAAGAAATACAAGCTACATCAACAATCCTATTTCTATATTTCATATATAACCAATGAATGGAAAGATACTTCAATGTTTTCAGGTCCCACGTGAGCTTGATAAATATTTCCAGAACCCAATACAGAAAAGGAACACAAAGTACTTAAGGGAGATTAATTCTAACTTTTGTGCTATTTCACAGCACAAACCAATAGGAGGAGGGCCGGAGAGAGATGCTAATGTTCCCTCACTAAATTTCATCAATTCATCGATGTGTTGATTCTAGCGTGGGAAAAGGTCCACATGAAAAACTTCACTTCCTTTCCCACTTTGAGGTTCCACATTTTTAATCAAATAGTTGGATATGATGAAACTTGGTCTAGCAAGAAACCTTTACAGAATTTCCAAACTTCAATACTCTGTCGCCATGATTAAGGCTGGGAAAGAAGCCTTGAGAGAGTAAAGGAAGGAACCCACCCAAAATATGTTCCAATCAATAAAAGGAAAAAGGCCTTCTAAAGTTTATCCATTTCCTTCCCACTTCCTGTCTTCAGTGTATATTTCGGTTCTTTATTATGTCAGTCTAAAAGAAGGATTACTTTTAGTAAAGCAGTAGGGTCATGAGGACTTCCTGAGCTATTCGAGGAGGGAAAATCTGCAAGTGCAAACCAAACAAATGATTCCTCCCCATGCTTGCTGATGATTTTATATCAATAAGATCCTATTGAAGAGCATCCTTATATAGTGCATTGTTTCTTTCTTCTTCTTCTTCTTCTTCTTTTTTTTTTTTTTTTTTGCAGGAGCATTTATGTAATCTTAAAAGCATTGTAGATTAAAAGGTCTTCATAAGCCTCTTTTACATCGTTTTTATTGGTGCATATTAGCTTTAAAAAAAAAGAAAAACAAAAACGAACGCCACAACATGCATTTGCTTCTAGACCGACATTTTACTGTTTTCCTGTATGTGACCACGTAAAGGATGATAGAATCAGTGGTAAATAAGTTTTATATTGCCAAAATAACATATTGAGGAAACCAAAACTTATATTGATGAAATAAAGATTTTCAATTGAGTAAATAATTTGATCTGTTACAAAAAAAAAAAAAGTGGGGTGAAGAGAAGAAAGAAGGGGAGAAAAGAACCCACAGATAGAACAGACATCTTACCAGTACACTGTAGTGATCAGTCATCATTGCAATTAACCCAACAACTGAAGCAGTGCCCTCTGGAAGTGATAAATAGGCCTGAAATAAATATGCATAGAAAAACCACAATAACAAGATAGTGTCACTGTGTTGACATTGCCAAATCTCAAGTATTTAAGTTTTTCGATCAATTTGAAAGCCAGGTAATTCAAAACCCAGAATTTCAGAAAGTACAATGATTCGGGAATGGTGAAAAGATAAATCTAGTACCAATTTAGATTGTGTTAGGTAAGTGAAACTTCAAAAGAGCTACAACAATCAAAGTGGCCAAGGACTAAAAGGATCTCTGATCAGATATAAGAAAACTCAATAGTACATGACAACTAAAAATTTTCAAGACCTAAAGTATGCAATAATAGAGATCAGCGATTGCACGTGAAACACATGAAGGTGCAGTGGTGCCATTACGATTAGATAATAAATTTAGAGAAGTAAATGGGATTGTATGCTATGAATACAACTAACAAAATATAGGTCCCTGATACTAGGAATACGACGGACAAGTTTACGGGATACTTAACCAGAAAAGCCATTTGTATATAAAGATTCGTAGCAATACAAAAATAAAAGGGATTGACTTCCTCTACCCTATTCATGGTGAAAAGGGCCTCGACCATTTCTGTAGAACGGTTCCTTACTGCAGCAGCTACCTGCGAAGTACCAGACAAAAATGTTTCAACCCAAATACAGAACTAGTACTTGTTTAAGACTGAAGAATGAGGTGCAACTACAGGAGCAAATTACAATTAACATCTACGAAAAAATTACAGTATAAGCTCATTTTGAAACTTTAAAAGAAAGTATTGCATGATTTTGAGACACGATACTTAAAGATACACAGCTCAAGTCTGCTGTGCCAAAGAAATTCACTGGCTCGCAGCACTTGAACATCATTATCATAGTCATTCCATAGATTGGTACTAACCTTCTTCCAATCTTTTCCGTATTTACGATATGCTTCATAGAACTGCTCAACCTCATCCTTGCTCCATTGAGGCCCTAACAGGTCAGCAAATTTCCTCTTCTGCAAATAATCAGAAGATGGTTAGAAGATGGCTACAAAACTTCCCTGAACCAAACTTATTGTGTTCTGTTCCTTTCACAGTGAGAATTTTAAGACAACATTAATCAATGGTCGCATAGACTCCAGATTAGATTTCATACTAAGTATGATGTACTGATGAAAATTTAAAAGAAAAAAAATAGAAGAAAGGAAAATGGAGTTTACATTACATTAACAACCGTACAATCGGTAAATATGAATATGGTCGTGATTTAGACATTTAGCCTTTAACAGCAAGAAAACTATGATAATAGTTAGACTGACACTGTGCAACTTACTTCAAGATAGCCTGTAACAGGACCAAAATAGCAACTTAAGTTATAAATTGAAACTATGAAACATCATACTTTCTCATATATAGACAAATGGAAAGTCGAAAGACCAAATAAATCTTGCATAAGTCATCCTCCATCACGAACATACATACCTTCTGCTTGCTTTTGCTAGCATCTTCCACGTATTTACTTGAGAAGGCCTCATTAGCAGAAGATAACCGCTTATTAACACTTCTGGACTTTCTTGACGGGGCCATGAGCTTTACCAATCTGAACACACATATAAGCACTAGTGTCTGTTATGACGTGGTTGAAGTTCAGGAGCATCAAGTCCACTATAGACATGTTTTATCACACTGATTTAATATCCATTGAAGTACCAGTCCGGCACTTACATTCACCGAAAATCCTCTTCATAGAAACCATACTTTTAGAGCGAGAACAGTTATTCGTGAAAGCACGAGTTTAAACGAGAAAAATAAAGCAGCTGATTTACGAAAGAAAAATCAGCAGTTGTTTCCTTTACCGAATCATCCAGCACACAAAAACTCGAAATAGAAAAACAATGCCTAGAAGAAACAAAGCAATATTTCAAACAAAATCGCCTTTTTCCCCTGCTCGACATGAATGAACTCAAAAGAAAACCGTTGCAACCGGAGTAGCGATGAAACACGAATTCGTCAAAAGTAACCCAATGCATGTTAGCTGAAAACGAACACACCGGAATGAAACGAAAAAATCAACACTTGAATTGCGATAACACTCCAGATTCCAGTAATTGAAGAAAAAGAATAAGAGAATTTGAGAGAACATAGATAAAACCGTATCAGCAAAATGATCTCAATTCTCAACCGAGTTACAGATATGTAACATCAAGAAGAAAACGAAATACAAATCTTGCTCAATTCACTCAGAAACAAAATCCACATAAAATTAAGGAGAAAAAAAAATGTTCGTCGTCAACAAACAGCCCTAGATAGATGCAAAAAACGAGATTATTACCGATTTTCAAATGGCTGCTCCCCGTCAAAGCACGTCTAGGTCCTGAACATAAAACAAACAGTGCGAGCATGAACTCAAGTGGTGGAGTAACCAATCAATGAAGAAGAAGACGGCCACGAAATCCAGAGTGTCGACAAGAATGAAGCCAAAGAGAAGGAAGAAGATGCAGAACGATGGAATTTGAGGGGCATAACCGCGAAACTTCAAAACTATTGTACTGCACAAAAAAAAATTGGTACCAAATGTAATTTATATATCATTTTAATTTTTTAATTTTTTAATTTTTTAATTTTTTAAATTTTTTTCGTTCAACTATTTAAATTTGGCTGACCTAGCTATAAATTAAAATTAAAAATAAATAATATTTAAATAAATTCAACTTAGTATATGGCAATTACATTTTAATTTTTTTAAAAAATCAATTAATCTTAAATTTAGTCTTCATGATCGTATATATGCTTATGTTTTAAAATGTAATTTACCCTTGAAACCCTAACCCGCCTCCTATTCTTTCCAGCAGCCATTCTCTCATAATCCCCTTCCCGCCGCTCGTTGTCACTCCTCCGCCTCCCATTTTTCCCCTACCCCGCCGCTCGCTGTCGCTCCTCCGCCTCCCATTTTTCCCCTACCCCGCCGCTCGCTGTCGCTCCTCCGCCTCCCATTTTCATTATTCGATACTCTTGCGAGGCATTCGCCCTTTCCCGCCGCTCGCTGTCATTCCTCCGCCTCCCGTTTTCATTATTCGTTACTCTTGCGAGGCATTCGTGTTTCTCCGATTCGTCTTCTCAAGAGGAAGCAGGTTTTCTGCTCCATAGAGTTTTCACAGTCATGTTGTTGCTTCGTCGGATCATTGTAGTCAGGCAGCCATCATCAGTCTTTGCTCACGGATTTTCTGAAAGTCCGTTCAAATCTCTCAGATACTCATCGACTTCTTCTGGGATCGCATCATCTCTAAAATCTGCATCGCCGGATTCTAATTCTGTCAAGCCAGAGAACAATGAGAAGCCTGTAATCGTGTTCTTTGAGAATCATGGATTCTCAAAAACACAGATATCTGAGCTTGTCAAGAAATTCCCTCAAGTTCTTTCCGCGAACCCCGAAAAGACGCTATTGCCAAAATTGTTGTTCTTTCAATCGAAAGGCCTTTCTTCCCCCGAGATTGCCAAATTAGTGTGTGGTTTTCCTTCGATTTTAACGCGAAGTTTAGACAGAAAAATCATTCCAGCTTTTGATTACATTCAAGCGCTACTTCAAACTGAGGAGAAGACTATCGCATCCATAAAACGGTTTTTAGGTATTCTCACTTGGGATCTCCAAATTTATGCTCGTCCAAATGTTGAAACTCTGATACAAATTGGAGTCCCTGATTCCAAAATTGCAACCATTCTTCAGTACCAACCACGAGTGTTCTTGATAAACAATGTCCGATTCAAGGAGATTGTGGAGGAAGTTAAGGAAATGGGATTCAATCCTCTGCGACTGAATTTTGTTCTCGCTGTTTTTGCCATGCGAGCAATGAGCAAATCTACATGGAGAAAAAAAGTTGAAGTTTACAAGAAATGGGGATGGCCTGAAGAAGAGATTCTCTTCGCTTTTCGAAGGCATCCATGGTGTATGATGGCTTCCGAGGACAAGATCAATGGTGTAATGGATTTCTTTGTGAACAAGCTTGGATGTGAACCTTCATACATTGCAAAGCGACCTGCTCTGATTTCACTTAGTTTAAAGAAGAGGATTGTGCCAAGAGGCTCTGTTTATCAAGTTTTGCTGTCAAAGGGTTTGATTAAGAAAGATGTGAATCTTCCTTTTTTGTTTGAGTCTGCTGAAAACCGATTCTTAGACAAATTCATCGACCCTCATAAGAAGCTGATTCCTGGATTGTTGAAGTTGTATAAAAAGAAATTGGTGGATGCTAAGAGATAGCAGGTTCAATCTCCTTCTCTAAATGTTAATATTTACCTGTTTTGCTTGTTCATATGTCTATTGATATCTAAAATTGATGTATGTTCAAGAGCTTGTGCTGAATTGGCTGCTATTTAGATTGTTAACTAAATTATGGTTTGAGCTGAATTGACTATAGCACGTTGTAACAATAATAATGTAATACCCATCGGATAAAAAGTAAAATAAATAATAATAATAAAATAAAATAATAGAAAGAAAGAAAGCGTGTGGCAGGTGGACTCTGCCCTGCCACCGCCGAAAAACCGCAGGCAACAAAAGACTGTGGAGTAGCCCATTTTCAAGGACTTTTCGAGGGCAGAAGAAGAGGGTTGGAGAGACGTCGGAAATGGAGGAGGAGCTCACGAACTCTCGGAGACCAACCATTGGGAGAACTCGTTGCGAGTCCACGTCGGCCGGAAACCTCGCGATTGAGACCCACAAGCGCCATCTGATCGATTAGGGGAAAAGTTTGAGGACTTCCATCGTCGAGGCTTGTAGTTTGAGGTTAGTGGAGAAAAAGAGTCGAAAAGGGTGGAAGGGAACAGGGAATCGAGATATCACTTTGGATCTATGAGATTTGAGGATTGTGGGCGTCGGAAACGAATCAGAGGGAGAGGCGACGGTGAGCATGCAGTGGAATTATCTGAGGAGTTCGGCAAATTTTGGAACTAAGACACAAATCCGAACAAAAAACGTAAGTGTTTCAGGTAAGTGGCACCTCGGAACCTTGGATTTAGTTATGCTCATTGTATATATGAAATTATGGTATAAGAAGTATGTTTTAGAAGTTTGAGCATAGAATGAGTTTGTTTGTTGAAACTTTGCGTATGCAACTACCTTAAGATTCATGACTAGCTTTCCATGATTAGATCATTAAGTTATGCCTCCGTCACGCACGTTACAGTATTAGTGGTTATCTGGGGACGATTAGAGGTTTGCCAACTAACCCCTAACCGTAAACCTGACTCGATTGTCAGGGGTCCACGTAACCATAGAACTGGCCATTTTTTTTTTTTGTTGATGGTACCTTGTGGGGACTTATAGGAAGTTTGTCAGTTAACTTTCTATTAGTGAACCTGTCACGGGGGTCTACATTGGTACATTAGAGTTGGTCAAGAGATATTGCTTATGCCTATGAGTTAGTGGTTATCCAGGGACGATTAGGGGTTCGCCAACTAACCCCTAACCGTAAACCTGACTCGATTGTCAGGGGTCTGCGTAACCATAGAACTGGTCATTTTATTGTTGATGGTACCTTGTGGGGACTTATAGGAAGTTTGCTAGTTAACTTTCTATTAGTGAACGGGTCCACATTGGTACATTAGAGTTGGTCAAGAGATATTGCTCATGCCTATGAGTTAGCAGTTATCCGGGGACAATTAGGGGTTCGCCAACGAACCTCTAATCGTAAACTTGACTCGATTGTTAGGGGTCCGCGTAGCTATAGAACTGGTCATTTTATTCTTGAGAGGACTTTGTGGGGACTTATGGGAAGTTTGCCAGTTAATTTCCTATGAGTGAACCTGTCACGAGTGGCAGGGGTCCACATTGGTACATTAGAGTTGGTCGAGATTTATTGTTCATGCATATGAGTTAGCGGTTATCTGGGGACGATTAGGGGTTCGCCAAGTAACCTCTAATCGTGAACTTGACTCGATTGTCAGGGGTCCGTGTAACTATAGAACTGGTCATTTTATTGATGATGCTACTTTGTAGGGACTCATAGGAAGCTTGCCAGTTAGTTTCTTTAAGTGAACCTGTCACGAGTGACAGGGGTCTACAATAGTACACTTGAGAGTTGGTCGATTCCTAAAATGCATGAACCTTGAGTATCGAGGTTGCGCCTCGAGGTCCTTGAGATTGGATGATGAAGAAGAGAGACTAGTAGAGACAATAAGCCTAGTGACCTAGAGAACTTAAGAGTGTTCCGAGGGCTAGATGTCCAGATAGGACCATGAACCAAGAGAAACTAGAATGAGAAAATTTAGGGTCTGGTCTAGACAGATCCTATTCGAACGGGACAAATCCCCAAAAGAGTAAGATATTAAACGATGAACAAGATCAATAAGACTTAACTAAGAAATACGAACTACCAGCAAGCTGCTTACTGAGTATATTTTATATACTCATTCCTGCTACTTCAACTTTCTTTTCAGGTGGAGTTTGATGTAGCAGTCGAGGTGGAGGCACGTGGGTTGTTGGCTATAGAGAATCTCATCACATTTGAGTCTGTAGTCTTTCTTTGTGCTTTGCCTTTAAATCCTGCCCTTCCATGTATTTAAGTGATCTCTTCCTGACTTTCTATGAAAATAAGATTTTCATTACTATTTTAAATTTTACCTTTTTCATTTTTGTCGTCACTGAGTAACGATTCGTTGCCCGAGACTTTTGAAATTTCGGGTCGTTACAAATAAAGTGGAGTCAAAGGATTATGTCTAAACTAGTTTTGGCTCTATATTCGAGTTGATTGTTGACTTCTTTCCTTTCGCTAATTTTGAATTATATTTCTACATAGTGTTTCTAGTTGATGTCACCTACTCTATTTATGTGAGATACCATATCGGTCAAAGAGGGGAACGAGGGGTGTCGTATTGGTTGGAGAGGGGAACAAAGTATTTCTTACAAGAGTGTGGAAACTTTGCCCTAGTATACTGTATTAACATTGTGAAGTTGACGGCGATACGCAATGGGTTAGAGTAGACAATATCTGCTAGTGGTGGGCTTGAATGGTTACGAATGGTATCAAAGCCAGACATCGGGCGAGAAACCTCTCCCTAGTATACATATATTAAAATCGTGAGGCTGACAACAATATGCAACGAGCTAAAGCGGAAAATATCTGCTAACAGTGGTCTTAGGCGGTTATAAATGGTACCAAAGCCAGACATCATGCGGTGTGCGAACGAAGACGTTGGGCTCTAAGGGGGTGGATTATGAGATCCCACGATAATTGGAGAGTGAAACAAAGCATTCATTATAAGGGTGAGAAACCTCTCTGGTAGATAGGCCGATAGCGATAAACGTGTAAATCATATTATATGTCATATACTTTATTAAGGTCTTGCTTCTCACATTATGAACGAATTGGGCCGGCCCATATTGTTGTCCGATCTCAAATCTCCTCCAACCCAAGCCCGTTTTATAATATATATTAAAACAAAAGGAGTGGGGCCCACTGCAGGCCTATGAGATGGCACGTTAAGTGCTTCCTGAAATGCCAGGACAACATTTGTGGGGACCAATCCATGGCCCCACTCGATTTCACTTTTTTTTTTCCAAAGATATTTTTGTATTTTTTATTTTAATTTGAAACCAAGGTCTAATAATTATTTCTTGTCATTTATTTTGTCCCTATTAAATTAACCATAAAATTTGTAAATAATAAAAAACTTTGATGTCTTTTATTTTAAGTTAGCTAATAAAAGAAAAATGTTTGGTATATTTTGAAATTATTAATAATATTATATTATTTTAATCTCACATTTTTACACTTAATATAATATATGTCACCTTTTTTTTTTTAATGAAATAGTCTTTTCTAGAATCAAATATGAATTTCTTAAAATGACCATTTTTTTTTTAGTAAATAAAGAAATGGTAATAATAACTAAATAAAAAAAATTACATTATTTTAAGTTGTATTGAAAATGTATTTTAACCCTATATCTTGAATTAATTATTTTTAACTATATTTTCATAATTAGATTTTTATTACTTTAACTATTTTTTTTTTTTTTTTTTTTTTTTTTTTTTTTTTTTTTTTTTTTTTTTTTTTTTTTTTTTTTTTTTTTTTTTTTTTTTTTT